ACACACACACACACACACACACACACACACACACACACCATTTCTACTTAGCCTGCTCTAAAACTAAGTAAGGAAATATTAAAGAAAACTACTTATTCTGTGCCTTTGGGCACAAAAACGTGTTTGTGAAAAACAGTATTTATCTAGGCTGGGCACTGGTAGCTCATACTGTAATCCTAGCTGCTCGGGAGGATGAGATCTGATGATCATGGTTCAAAGACAGCCCAGGTAGTAAAATCCATGAGACACTTAGCTCCAATTAACCACATAAAGCTAGAAATGGAGCTGTAGCTCAAGTGGTAGGTCACTAGCTTTGAGCACAAAAGTGCAGGAACAGTGCCCAGTCCTAGAGTTCAAGCCTCAGGACTGGCCAAAAAAAAAAAAAGTATTTAAAATAGGGACATTTGTCTACATGTTGCAGAATCTAGCCTTTGAAGGGATGCCAGAACATCTATGACCTTAGTTTAGTGATCAAGTCACCCTTGAAGTTTTTGGACCCAGTTGATAAGACAGTTTAAAGGAGAACACCAGTCTTAAGATGAATTTGAGCTCAACATCAACTTAGTTTTTCACCGTAAACACCCATGATATTAAAATTACACCCTTAGGTGAGCTGTGTATTTTCTTTCTTTTACTAATAAACTTTCTTGATCTCTACCTGAATGGATCCTTAAAGAGCTTTTGCAGCAACATCATGAACTCAGTTCCCAAAGGCCTGGCAGAGGCTCCCTCTCATTTGGAGGACTGCTTCTAGAAGCATCACTGATCTGGTGACACAACTTATACTGAGTAACTGCACACTCGCTCATTTGGAGCTGCTGGTGCGCTTTAAGGCTGAGACTCTGTTCTGACTGTTGGTTAGGTGGATCTCACCTTTTTGAGGCTTCTTTGTCCACACTGCAAGCATTCATGTAATGATACAGCAGTGAGTGGATAAGCATTTTCTTAAGCCATAGCTGCATGTGTGCAATTCTTAGATGTAAGGGAACAAAAACCACTCATTTATTATACACACCTGGAAAGATGCAAAACTTAGGATTTCAAAACTGTATCCAATTAAAAATAATATTACAGGAAGAGGAATTGGAAAGTCTTTCAAATACATGTTCACGAATGCTGCAAAAACAGGAGGTTGTTACTAAAAGGCAAAACATCATCACTTTTATAGAACTTTAATCTAATGTGACTCTAATTATTGAATGCTTTATTTTAGCACCCACTTATAAATCAGAGATTCATTTAAAATGCTGCAATAAAAGATTAATAAGTAAACTTGAATGAAACCCCATAGCTGACGTGCAATGAAGAACTGGATATAATTTACCAATAGATAAAACCTAATTACCAGGTAACTATTACCACTATTAGAAAATCAAATTAATATTAACTTTGTTTCATCTTATATATCACTGTTACCAAAGTTCAGTTAAAAATGCTCTATGAGTAATATTGTACCATTTGTTTCATTTTATTTCATTGTTCTACTTCTTTGTCATAGAATCCCTAACTGGGCCAAAGAAACACACTAACAAAGCACAATCTTTATTTCTATAGTGTAATTTTCTCCTCAGAAAAGGCAGATGTTAACTTATCATTTAGATAGAACCCACTGGATGCCCAACTCCAGCCATTCATTTTCTTCCTTTTTGCTTTATTTGTGCCTGTTGCTGAAAGCTAATGCTGACTTAATCAAGTATGACTACACTGATCCCAACAGAGGTGAAGGGCAGGTAATAATTGTATTCAGTTCACTAAAAATAATCGAGATAAAGGTAGGAACTGAGTGACAAAAGTCTAATTTTCCATGACCACTTTCCATTGTTTTATAGGGTATATTATGAGATGTACCAATCCAGAGAAAAGAGACACTTACCTCCAACAGTACAGATCAAAGAAACTATTAAAATGATTTCTGGGAGGTTCTGCGGAGTATTTAAAGACATACTCCTGAGAAAATTCGCCCATGGGCTATCAATAGTTTTTTTAAGGTACTGTGTAGAGTTAACACTGTTATGCATATTGATGCTCATTGTAGTTTATCTGAATCTGAATTGATGTCACTGCAAAGCTCAGAGAAATCAAAGGAGCACAAGGTTTGCCTTCTTCGTGATCTTCTGATGACTCTCTAAAACAAAAAAACATGTACTTTTATTTATTTTTTGTTATTATAAAGGTGATGTACAGAGGGGTTATAGTTACATAAGTCAGATAATGAATATCTTTTTTTGTATTTTTTGTGTTATTTCATGGTCTGAAAATAAAGAGCTGGGGACTTGAGTAGAATAACATCTGAGTTTAAATGCAATTACCACCATATATATGTACATATACATACATACATACATGTGTATATATATACATATACATATACATTATATATGCTGAAAGCCTGACTCAGGATAAGCATATTTCCCTGACCTCAAAGCCCAGTCTGTCAAGAAAAAAATAAGGACCTCTCCCTTCAATGATGCTTTCAATTTAAATGAAGTGGAAAAGGCAGAATCCCGGAGAAGAGATATTTGTCAGCAACACCTTCTGGACACTTAACAATGCCACTCACTTATCAACCTGCATACACAACTATCTGAGAGAAGGATTCTCCCCATCTAACCATTCATCCTCCACTGAGACCACAAGCTTACTCAGATTACTGAACTCAGGACAGACAATGGGGACATTTGCCTTTGTTACCTGAGCCTAGAAGAATATGATGGTGCTGTTCAAGGTGGAAAGTTGAATGGAGGAAGAATATTTTCATCTCTATTGTTATTTTATCTAGGCAGAAAATAATAGGTCTTGCTGATATCAATGATTTTCTTTCTTTTTCTTTTTTCCTTCCTCCCTCTGTCTCTTACTTCTTTTGGACTTGTTCACTTGATTAATGCTCTACTATTTTGAGCCAATCTGTTGTTGGTTTTTTTTTTTAAATGAAAAACCATTTACTTAAAATAAAGGGTTCAATAATTGTTAGTACTCATTAATGTCACATCAAATGCTTTCAGATACTCAAATAGTGTAAGGCTGACATAAGATCACAATCTCAGCATTATTTGTTCTACTCAGAGAGTTAAATTGTTAGAGGACTTTAACCTACTGCATTCTTTATAGAACTGAGAGTCATGGGATTTGATAGTGTTATGAGGATTGTAAGAGTTTTAGGCATGGTTTGATCCTCAGTATCACATACATAATGAATTTTAATCATGGAATACACTAACGTAACTCAAGTAGTGATAAAGGAAGAAGTATTTTGCATTAGTTCCTGTGAACTTAAGGATTGAAGACATTTGTATAAATTTGCATATAAAACCTAGCTTTTTACTATTTTAGTTGGAGATGGAGTCTCTTCGACATTTCTATCAAGGCTGGCTTTGAATCAAGATATTCTGATTTCAGCCTACTGAGTAGACAGGATTACAGGCATGAGCCACCAAAACTGGGCAAGTCTTTGCATTTTTGTCTGGGCTGACTTCAATTGCAGTATTCCTACCTATATCTTCCATCTAGGCGTGTTTACAGGCATGCATCAGATTCCCAAACTATTTGTTGAGATGGGTTTTCACTAACTTTTTGTCTTGGCTGTTCTAGAATCTTGAGCCCCCGATTTATTTTTTGGGCAACTAGGATTACAGTTGTGAGCCACTGCAGCTATTCTAAGATATCCTAATCTTTACCCAAGAGGAAAAAATCTTTCATTTTTAAATTAGCATGCTAATATGACTGTGGTTTAATATTTTTCAACATATAGATAAACAAGTAATGAGTGTAGCCAGATCGTAAGTGCCATTAAGGCTTGTCTTCCATCTAAATTGACTTTTGATAGCTTTAGAATATTTATTGGTCTAAATTCCTAAGGGGGGAAAATAATGGCACACTACATTATATTCTCTGATTTAATTTATCACTAGAATAGCTAATGTTCCAAATTCCTTTGTGTGCTGAGGAGATAATTAATAGCTGCATTGATCATCCTTAACAAGCCAGCCAATCAGCCTTCAGAAACTGGAGTCTGAGTCTTATTTTTTAGGAATTACCATGACAAAAGTATCCTGGAGAGGACGCTGGGTACAAGCTACAAAATTCAAACAAGGTTTTGTCGTGGCCTCAGTGATGTCATACTGACTGGAGAGAAGTGGTCTATTACCTTCCCAAGACCTTTCCTCTAGATCAGGATCAGCTCCACCGGCTATGAAGATTCACATCAGGGAGTTTGCCTCTGGAGCTTTGCTTTCATCAATGCAAAGGCGTCCCTCAAGCACATCATTGCCAGCGAATCACTTTGAAAGAACTGAAATAAGCATAATGGAGGAGAGTCAGCAGCTGAAGGGCAGAAATTCTAACTAAGAGACTAGTTTATCTTTAGGAGAGTCCTTAATAAGTTCTTAATTAAGGACTCTCTTAAAGTTTCAACCCTTCCAGAAGAAGGATGGAAATTTCAAAAAGGAATGGTTGAATCTATGACTGAAATACTGAGATCATTTTTTTCCCTTGGGAGTGGAAGATCAGAGACAAAGTAACAATGGGAAAAGACAAAAGAGAAAGTGGAAGACTCACCATTCATCCTCAGAAAGGGATGAAAGGGATGAAAGGGAGAAGTGGACACTAGCTATTTCCCTCCTTCTTGAACAGCCAAAGATCAACTGCGACTTCCCTGACAGTTATTTCCCCAAGCCCCACCCCTACCCTACACCCATTGGCTCCAGACTTATAACACTAGACTTGATTGGCTGAGGAAAACCTTGAGACATTTAAAACTCCCAGTCTTTTTGTTGTTGTTGTTTTGTTTTGTTTTTAAACAAAAAGAAACTGTAAACTGTATTGCAGCATTACTTATGTTCACTTTGCAAGAGTGGATTTCTAGCTAGGAGCCAGTGGACACTTTTCTCATAATTCTAGTTGGAAAGAGTTTCCCGGATAAGATAGTAGAGATTTTGAAATGTTAAAATTTTGGTTGCTAGTTGGGGTAGAAATGACTATTCTGGGCAAATAAAACAATGAAAGGCTGAATGTGGTGGTTCACACCTGCGATCCCAGCAGTAGGGAGGCAGAGCTAGCAGGATGACTAGTTCTTGGCCAGCCTACACCATATAGTGAGACTTTGTGTGAAATCAATCAATAAAAACTAATAGGAAAAGTGGGTTTTCACTCTGAGTTATAAGTGATGAAACTTTTAGAAAAAATAATCATTTCTTTTATCTAAACATAATAAAGTATATTTTAATTGTAATTATGAGTGGCATTTCCACATACACAATTTTTTATATTCCTACTCAACAAAACATCTTGGGAGAAATTGTGTAATACTTCTGAAATGTTTTTGAAATATTGTTTAGTGTGTGAAATATCTTCCATATTTCATTCACACTGTGAAGCTGATTTGATCCCGGGAAAGCAAAGAACAGAGAAGTAAAAGATTGAAGTGAGAGAATTTAAAAAGAGAAAAAAAATGCTTAGGAATAGTCATTAAGTTTTCCCTTTGGGTATCAGGGAAGCTTTCAGTAGTACAAATTTGTACAAAGTTCAGTAGTAGCCATAAAACAGCAGGCACTTCTGAAGGAAATTATCCCTACAAAGTTGAAAACCCATTTTGTAGAATGATTAATCAAAAAGACTAAGAAAAGATTTTAAAAGTGGCATGGGGTATACAATGTTTTAATGAAATAAAAATTCAGATTGTTTCTCTGTAATTCATTCAACTAGACATATAAGGACCATGTGTGTGTGTGTGTGTGTGTGTGTGTGTGTGTGTGTGTGTGTGTGTATTTAAGTTTTTGAAAATAATTGGAGCCTGTACAACAAGAAAGTTGAAAAATGTTGCAAGATAAAATTTTTTTTTCCTTTTTTTTTGGCCAGTCCTGGGGCTTGAACTCTGGGCCTGGGCACTGCCCTGAGCTTCTTTTGCTCAAGGCTAGCACTCTACGACTTGAGCCACAGAGCCACTTCCAGTTTTTTCTGTTTATATGGTACTGAGAAATCGAACCCAGGATTTCATGCATGCTAGGTAAGCATTCTACCACTAAGTCACATTCCAAGTCCCTCTCCCTCATTTTTATTAGTATCAATAACTTGTACAGTTTCATTTTGAGTATTAATCTTTTTCTTCCCTTTTCAATTTTCAGGATATCTACAATAGTATTATGTTACCAACTGCCATCTGATAACAGATTTGGCAAGAAGTGCAAAGGTTAGATATATTTTCAGTTGCAGTGCTGTTGAGCAAGAAAGCAGAGTATTTTACCTGTTCATGAAGATTATTGTCCACAAATAATTCCATGGGCTTTATATTGTGTTTCATTTCCCACCTGCTGATGCTTCCAATCTGTGTACAACAATCAGGTAAGTCTTCATTTTTTCTCTCATATGCATGTGGCTGGAAGTCCATGACGAACAAATGCTAGGCTCAAGGCTAGTTACTTTAAAAAGAGGGAGGGAGGGCAGTAAGCAGGACAGTATGCTTGACTCTGTGTGTCACTCATGTGGGACTTTCTAATCATGTAGTTAACAAGTACTTAAATGTTATTATATTTGAAACAATGAGAATTCCAGAGACAATGGAAGAAATATAAGAATAGGAAAATCACTTTTGCTCCCAAGGTTTGTAGCAGTTGTTCAGACTAAAAGCCATAAGCAGCTAGAAGCAAATGAAGTCTTAGGAAAAAAGGTTCTGTTTTGTTTTGAGGTATTTCTTGGGGACATATTTAAGGAGTACAGCTGCCTTTTAATTTTGAGATTAAGTAGTTTTGAGGATCTTCTTAGTTACCAACATATTTTCAATTATGTTGTCAAGTCTGCTCAACATTTCTTTATGGGTTTGTCTATCAACATAAACTGAAATATATTAAAGATTTAATAAATGGTCAGTCTATTGTGTTCTAGTTATTTTAAAATGATTCAATTAGAGATATTTAACCCAAACTTATCTAAAATTAGTTTAGTTCATGGC